GCAACAAATCAAAACAAAAAGCTACCCACCCTTTGTTGTTGTTGCAATGTGCCATAAAGTCGGTTCTGATTCATAGCAAGCCTGTATTGTGTTTCCAAGTTGAATGTAGGTTTGAACTGCCAACCTTAGGGTCAATAATCCAGTGCTTGTCCTACAGCACCATACCGGACTCCTCAAAGAACTATTCCCTGACAGCACCCAATCCAGAACAAATCCTCACTTCCTTAAACCTTCTCCCAAAATCATCTTAACGTACACCTAAATCCTGTCACAAGTGCTTTCTAACATCATCTTCCGGAGATGTCCTTCAGTTTCCATTGGTGTGTGAATTCTCTCCCCCACAAGAAACAAGCCCCATTTTTTTAACTAAAAAAGAAACAGAAGTAGAATCAGCGTGCGGGTGGAAAACTAAGGCAACAGGAACGAGTAAAGGTAGGAGCAGCAAAGGGTATACTACTGAAGGGTGTAGTGGAAAAAACTCAGCAACTGGAGCCCCATCCAACTCAGTTTTAGGCTTGGCAGAAGAAAGGTTAAGGACCCTTATTCTCTAGAGATTTATGCCACTGTTCAGAAGAGATACTTTACTAAAACTTTAGCCCCTGGGCGGTGCAAATGGGTTCATCTGCTAAAGGTTAGAGGTTTGATTCTACCCAGAGGCACCTCGGAAGAAAGGCCTGGCAACCAAAAAATATTAGCCATTGAAAACTTTCTGGAGAATAGCTCTAATCCCACTCAATGACAACGGTTTTCCCCCACCCTCCGGCTTACTAAAATTTAAACAACATAGTCACATTGTATGGTAAATTTTAGTAACAGTGAAAAAGAAACTCGATGTATCTCAATTGTAATTTAAGTGGCAGAAACAAATGCCAAGGCTTTTTTCTGGAAATTCTAATATTCTTTACAGGTTCAAATAATCACATCTTTGAGTTTCAGTGACCTATCATGGACATGAACTAGGCTGGGGAACTTTGCTGGGCCTGGATGTTAAGAAATGGATGTTCCAGTGCAGAACTGATATCAAAAACAAGACATCTAAAGTCATATATTTCTGGTACTAAATGTGTATGGGAACCAAGATTGTATTGAATAGGACCATATCAGGAAAAAAATGCACTGAGGAACCCATGCTGTTTTTGACGCTGGAATGAGGACAGTAAGCTCTCAATTCAGTTTCAGTTAGCTGGAAGCCACTTGTTGAAATACGGGCAGTGAGTATCTGTAGTCTGTCCTATGCCAAAATAGTCTCCAGATTTTTTTCTTTTTGCTTGCTGATTTCTACAAGCCAAAACAAGAAATCGAAAACTGAATAGATAGTGGTAGATTTGGAGTTAATAATTATATAGTAACTTTCATTCCAAAGGTTAAAATTCAGAACACAAATCTCACCACAGATATCTAGTACATCCTTGAAGAAGAGAGATGGGTATGAAGTTCGGGATGAGAGTAGGTGGAGGGATTAGAATCGGGGTACATACAAGTCAGGAAGAGGGAGACGACCCAAAAAATTTCCCTTCTCTTTAAGAACTTTAACCACATAATATCCATCCAATTGGAACAAAGTAAGTACAAAAGCCACCCTGTCCCCAAGATAAGTACTGGAAGCACCGGAGAAATGGTAAGAAAGCAGCCTGTGATTAACTGCAATTAGGGAATGACACTGAAGACCCTGTTCCACATCCTCTGGCCACCTCCCCAGTGTCCATCCTTCTTCCTGCTGAAGAAGCAAATCCAGCGGCCTCCATCAACGCAGCTCTCTATCCACTCTGGCAGCCCACAGGACACCCGGCGAACTGCCTTGGAAAGCCAGCCCACATGACTAAACCTTACCTGGTTCTTGTCAATTACCTTTAAGACACATTTAAAGAAATAGCCGTGCAAAAAAAAAAAAAAAAAAGTTGGAATCTACTCAAGAGGTACCTCAAATGAAAGGCCTGGTGTGCTACTTCCAAAAACTCAGTTACTGAAAACTCTGCAGAGCACAGTTCTGCTCTGACACACCCACCTACCGTGGGTCGGCAGCCACTCAACAGCACCTGGTTTGGTTTACTAATAATCTATGAGTTTATCGAAGTCCTGGTGAGGCACTGTGGGCTAATGCGCTGGAATGCAAAGTCAGTTTGTACCACAAGGTCGGCGGTTCAAGCTCACAGCTGCTCCTTGGAAACCCTGTAAGGGTCGCTATAGGTCAGAACCAACTCCATGGTACTTAACATCACCATGAGTATATCGGGAGAACAGCTGCTCCATCTGATAAGCACTGCACTGTGAACCACAAGGTATGCGATTCAAGCCCACCAGCCGCTCCTTGGGAGAAAGATAAGGCTTTCTGCTTCTTCGAAGATTTAAATCTCAGAAACCCCATACAGGGTTGCTATGAACTGAAGTCGACTCAGAGGCATTAACGACAATGAATGTATTATGTTCTGTCGATACCTATACTTCTTGACTTTATCCGTCCTGAGGGTTATAACTTCTCTAACAGATAAAGAAAAATATATTTCTCCTTCTGGTTTATGATTTTAACTGGGGAAACAAAGAAGTCCAACAAAGCCTAAAAACTGAAGGGTCATAGCCCTAGGATAGGGAATTCATGGGGCCAGAAAATGAGATCTCTTCTTTCTACATGGTCTGAGGAAAAAAGTACATACTTGCACGGATTAACAAATTGAGGTCTATCCCTACAATGGAATATTATTCGGCCAGAAAAAGAAAGTACTGATATTCACATGTGACAATGTGGCTGAACCTAGAGAATACCAATATGCTACATGAAAATGCCCAACACAGAAAGTCACAGACTATAGGACTCCACTTATTACATGAACTATGCAGAATAGGGTGTCCTGGTGTATTGCTGTAGGATAAGCACTGGACTGCTAACGAAAAGGTCAGCGGTCCAAACCTACCAACTGCTCCTTACAAACCCTATAAACTCTATAAACAGTCCCTGAATCAGAAGTGACTTGACAGCGCTAAACAACACAACACACAGACCAGGTAAATCCACAGAGATAGAAAGTGGGTGAACAGTAGCCAGTGGGTACCTGGAAATGAAGAATAACTGTAGAATGGGTATGGACTTTGAGGACGGTAGAGGGGGTGATAAACATGTTTGGAATTAGATACAGTTGGCCATTGTACAACATTGTGAATGTACTAAATGTCTCTGAATTGTACAAATTTACAATGGTGGTGGTTGTTGTTGATCTCAACTCAAAGTGACTCTGTATAGTGTTTCCAAGAAGTAGCTGGTGAGTTGAATTGTCAACTTTGCTGTTAGCAGTCCAGTGCTTATCCTACAGAGTCAATATGTTATTTCACCTCATTAAAAAAACAGATAATAATAATAATAATAGGCAAAACAAGATGCATAAATGACCTAGGACCATCAAGGGAGAAGAGCAGAGAGCGGGACCCTACCCAGAGAAGCAGTGATGCCTGAAATGGAGCCAGAGATGATGACGTGGAGCAATGGAGCAGCTGGACACTTTAGATCCAGAGAAGGAGAGTGACTGTGTGCTGAAGACCTGGGGGATACGGGGAAGGATTGAATGGAGGGGATTGTAACCATGGCAATGAGACGATATACGATAGAATGAATGTAAAACTAATGTTCTCCCATGTAAACTATCACATAATTCACAATAAAACATTTAAGAAAAAAAAAAAGATGCATATATGAAACCCAAACCCAACCAAGTGCCATTAAGTCAATTCCAACTCATAGTGCTGCTCCTCAGAAACCCTATATAGGGTGGCTATGGGTTGGAATCGACTCAATGGCACTTTAACAACAACAACATATCTTTATGGGAGCAGAAACCTCATCTTTCTCCTGCAGAGCATCTGGTGGGTTAGAACTGCTGACCCTGTGGTTAGCAGCCCAGTGCTTAACCTACAGCACCCCCAGAGCTCCTGCATATATGAAAAGGCAGCCCAAAAACTCCTAAGAAAAGGATGTCTTTCTGCTGATACTCTGCTTCTACTCTTGGTCACAACACTGAGTTCAACCACTAACTGTATATAGATCCCACCATTATACTGTCTGTGTATGTGTGCGTGCCTTTCTGAAAAGGCAGGAAGGGAACAGAAAGTGAAGAAAATAGAACGGTAAAGCCTTGCCAAATGCAAGGAAAGGAGGGGTGATTCCCACTACTGCACCCCACCCAACTTGGCACAAAGAGTAACGCTCCCATTAGGGTTTCGAAATGCCAACTGGGGTTGGAATCAGAACAAGCAGGCTCCTCTGCCTGGGTAAAAACCAAGCCACCTAACAAGAAAAGCTGGGGTGCTCCATTTGCTGCCCACATTGGCATCAATGCCACTTTTTGCTGAAAAGCCCCTGAGCTGGTCCAGATCAGCCTCAGTGCTTTGCTCTCCCAGGCCATTCAGCCTAACAGCTCTAGTCTGCCCTTCGTCCTGCGGGATTCCAGTCTACTTCATCCTACCTGTCTTCCAAGAGTCCTATCTCCAGCACCACTAAAGGCGCCATGCCTTACCTATTAAAAATGGAGCTAAGATGCCTTCAGAACTTACCCCGGGTCCAACTCGAAATAAACACCCTCTCAGCCCCTCCTCCCTTTCAGTCCAGCTCTGTCTCCTTGCAGACAGACAGACATATGGCATCGCTGCCTCAGAGACCTGCCCTACAGGGAGACACGAATGCATCCCACATGCTCCACCGTGGCACCAAAATTCAGTCACAGCCAGCCCAGCCCACCTGGCCAAACTGCTATCACAAAGGCCCCTCACAAAGGTTCCTAGGTACCATGCTTCTGCAACTCCCTAACACCCAAACCATCACAGATGTCTGTCAGCTAAACTGCGACGCCCCCTTAGGTCCCTTCCACGCCAAGTATGAGCGCCCTTCTTGGGAACCCCTCCACTCTTGGCGACAACATTCCTTCGGACCCCTGAAGCAAGGCAGCGACGCCGTCTCCAGCCAGACCTCGATGACCCCCGAGCCCCTAGGCGGCCCGGACGCCCCTCCCCCTTACCTGCGGGGGTTCAGCCCTGGCTGACAGGGGACTGGGCAGCGCCTGGAGGAGCAGGAGCGCCATGCCACCTAGGAGCCTTCTCCTCTTCATCCCCCTCCTGCTCCTGCTCCTCCGCCACGGCGCCGCCACCACCCTCCTCCTCCCTCTCCTCCTCTTCCCTCTACTTCCTTCTTCCAGGCTTTTCCTGTTTCACTCTCCCCTCCCGCTTCCGGCTCTACTCCACCCCGCCCCAGTCAAAACACCCTCCCAGATACTGAAGGCACTCCAGTTCCAGGGCTTCATTGGCCTCTGCTCTTCGTTCATTGATCAAAGCAGCTGTCGATCAAATAGAAGTCCACCTATGAAGATAGAAGACTAGAGAAATCCAACCAATGAAAAGTAGGAGGAAGCCAGGCCATCTTGAGTGCAGCAAGACTGTGTAAAATGAGTCCTGTTAGGCAGAGTGGCAGAAGTAACTCCTCTCAGAAGGCGGGGCCCCCCACAACGTGTATTGAAAAGTCTATGTCTAGTGCTGCCATATTGAGTGTGGCGGAATTATTAGGTTTCCATAGTCTAATAAAGAAAGACAGGGAGTATGGTGATGCTAAATAAGTTATTTCTAGAAGGTAACCCAGAAGGGAAAACACCTGCAATGTAAAGTATTTTTTTGTCTTGTAGCACAGCCCCAATATTATGATCCCTCTTCTTGTCCCAAGAAGTCCTGGTGTGGCGCTCTAGGTTAATGCGCTGCGCTGAAAAGTTGCTTTGAACCGCAAGGTCAGGGGTTCAAGCTCACCGGCTGCTCCTTGGAAACCCTATACAGGGTCGCTATGGGTCGGAACTGACTTGACGGCACTTAACAACCTTGTCCCTAAAGGCCCAAGCAGTTTAGGTCAATTTGAATTATCTAAGAGAGAGTGCCTTACTTGAGGAACACTGTTTTGTCATGACAAGTTACAGGGACAAAATCCTATTGACTATCTCAAAACCAGTAACTCAACTGTCATCAAATTGATGCCAACTAATGGCAACACCATGGGCATCAGTATGGAACTGTGATCCTTAAGGTGTTCAATGGCTGGTTTTTCTAAGGTATATCGCCAGGAATTTTTTTCGAGGCACCTCTGGGCAGACTTGGAACTTTGAACTTTTCAGTTAGCAACTAAGCATAGAATTAAGTTTGCACCACCCAGAGACTCCTCTACCTCAGAAACAGCCCTAAAATCCATCCTCCATTGCTTCAATTCATGTTTCTCATCTTCTGATTAAATACAATGTCCTCCCTACTGTATTCCCAGTTGCCAATTCCTCCTCTGAAATTCCTACCACACACCACAGCAACAATGTCACACCTTCCCTTATTAAAAGACTTGACAGCATATACAGCCCAAACTTCTTGTGGTTAGTAGTCCAGTGCTTATCTTACAAGTGCCACATCAATACTCCCATTTACAAAACCCTAGGCTCCACCCTATTTCTTCTTCTGGGTCCACATAACATTTGCCACAAAATGTATTTAATCTATGAGTAAAACATCAGCCTGCTTGACCCCTCCCACTAAATGTATAGCTCTTTCTATGGCATACCAGGTCTTTCTCATTTTTTAAAAAAATATCTGTTTATTGAGTCAGAATAGATTCAATAGCAACTAACAACTCAATGTTTGTAAAATAAACAAATTAAGATCCAATGGCAAAAAACACAGCTGCTTATTATAGCAGCCAATTTCTTCACAAGACTGTTCTAGGAAAAATGATCCCAAATTCAAACATATTTTATAGAGACCCCTTCATTAAGCCTTAAACAGGACAAAGAAAAATTATCAGGATAAGGAAGCCTATCAGCATGAGGCCATAAGGGTACAGAGAGGACTCATGGCCATGTGGCTAATTATAGACCATAACAAAGTCATGATTGGTGGCAGATCGATTCTTCATTGTCAAAGGTGGAGGTACAGAAGTGGGGAGAGGGCTATGATTAGTATTCATACACAATTACAGATTAGTATATGGGACTGGTTCTGAGGCTCTTCAACCACCTGGCTACTTGAAATGGAAGTATGACTCCTGTCCATGAAGCTCTGGTGCACTCCCTGTGAATCATTAAGGGTACACCCAGGCCAAGTTCCCTGAAGGCAAAAACTGCCCCTTCCTGGTCTGGTCAGGGGAGTTATAATCTACTTTCAAACAAGCTCTGCCTGAGAGCAAGAAACCCAAATGGAGTCTGAATGTATGTCAAGACTCAAAATGGAATTAGGGCTCCTACTGTCCTGGTGTGGCACTGTGGGCTAATGCGTCAGACTGCAAAGTCGTTTGAGAACTGCAAGGTGGTTCAAGGTCACAGCTGAACCCTATACAGGGTTGCTATGGGTCAAAATTGACTCAACAGCACTTAACAACAACAACACTCTCCTGGTGTGGCACTATGGAATAATGCACTGGACCAGGTCAGTTTGAACTGTAAGGTGGGCGGTTCAAACTCACCAGCTACTCCTTGGAAACCCTATGGGTGTCTATGAGTCAGAACCTACTCAATGGCACTTAACAGCCTAAGCTCTAATACAAGAGGAAACGTTTTACAGGCTGGCCTGTCTCGCCCATAACTGAGCCCAGTGAGAATTGTTCTTGGCTTAACCAGTGGCAAAGTAGAAAAAGGTAAGAGTGAAGGAATCAGTTTAGCCCTAGCCTGTGAATAGCCTTGCAGTCTGAGTATGGCTGTGTGGGTTAATGCGCTGGGCTGCAAAGTCAGTTTGAACCACAAAGTCGGTGTTTCAAGCTCACCAGTCATTCTCAACAGCACTTGACAACAATAATGAATGTCCATAATTCTATTTCTATCTTGACACAGCTTTTCTCCAGTACTGCAAAGATGACAGATATTTCAGTAATGTCAAATTTCTTAGTAATTCATCCATCCCACAAATCAAATGATGCTGTGGATAAGGAGTTGGGCTGCTAACCACAGAATCAGCGATTCAAACCCACCAGTCATTCTGCAAAAGAAAGATGAGGTATCGGAACAGAAACCCTATATGGGGTCAATATGAGTCAGAATTGACTCCATGGTTGTTGGTACTATGTGCCAGGGAGTCGGTTCCAACTCATAGCGACCTTATACAGGGTTTACGAGGCTGTAAATCTTTACGGGAGCAGAAAGCTTCATCTTTCTCCCGCGGAACAGCTGGTAGTTTCCAACTGCTGACCTTGTGGTTCACAGCCTGATTCGTAACCACTATGCTACCAGAGCTCCTTGACTCCATAGTGGTGGTGGTGGTGGTGTTTGTCATGGAGTCGTTTCCGACTCATAGAGACCCTGTACAGAGTTTCCGAGTAGTGGGGGTTTTTTTGTTTAGGAGAGAAGTAACAACTGAGAACTAGCCAAGAGTCAAACAATTTGGTCTCAGTCCTGGCCTCTAGAAATTAGAACAGCCCAAGACTGATTCCTATGAAGCAGAGGTCAGACACGCCTCCAAGCTCCAACCTTTTTGCCAATTCTGACATGTCCCTCCCACAATATTCTACTTCTTTGCTGAGTTCAAGAACTCATTGCAATGGTCACACAGACTCACAAACCAAACTCACAATTATGGAGTTTATTAGAGAAGCTGTTGTTAGGTGCCATCAAGTCGGTTCCAACTCATAGTAACCCTGTATAGGGTTTCCAAGAGACAGCTGGTAGGTTGAACCTCCGACTTTGTGATTAGCCGTCCGTCCAGTGCTTATTCTGTAATGCCACAGGACTCCTGTTAGGGAACCAACAGGTTACAATTCAGGGTCAGGAAACTCAGGATATAGTTCTTTCTTCAGGACAGCCTCTTCTCAGCTGTGCCCATAGGCAGGCCTTCCCCTGGGTTATGAAACCATTCAGTATAGATTAATAAGTAAGCACAAGCCAGAAAAAGGGGATTTTGCTACAACTTCTCTCTCTGCCTGTACCTGAGAGTTCAAGCTGAGCTATTGGGAAGGAAAAGCGCAAACCCCTACGTGACAATTAGCAACTTCCCACACCAACACATTTTAATCACTGTACCTACCAACCTCCAAGGAACTCTGGTAGCGTAGTGGTTATGCGTCGGGCTGCTAACCTCAAGGTCAGCAGTTCGAAACTACCAGTGGTTCCGTGGGAGAAAGATGAGGCTTTCTGTTCCCATAAAGATTTACAGCTTCAGAAACCCTGTACAGGATCACTATGAGTTGGAACCGACTCCACGGCACACCAACAACCACCTCCAGAATCTTGGTGTGACACTGTAGGATAAGCGCTCGACCACAAGGTTGGCGGTTCCAACTCACCAGCTACTTCTCAGAAACCTTATACAGAGTCACTATGAGTCGGAACCGATTCAACGGCACATAACAACAATAAACCAGTGTCAGAATACAACTGTGCACCATAAGGTTTTTCAATGGCTGATGTTTGGGGAGGTAGATTGCCAGGACTTTCTTCCAAGGCACCCCTAGGTAGACTTCAACCTCCAACCTTTAGGTTAGCATGTTAGAGACTCCTTTACTCACTCTAACCCCCCTCTTTCAACATCACACAGGGGCCAATTCAAAGAAAGCACAGCAGCTTTACCAGAAAGTAGTTGAGATGCACTTTGAGAGAAAGCTATTGGAACTGCCTCTGAATACTGGAGCCACTACATGCTCTCCAGACTTAAAAAAAAAAAAAGTTAACAATTTCTCCAAATCAGATAAACAGATGGCCAATAAGCACATAACAAAATGCTCAACATCATCAGTCGTCAGAGAAATTCAAACCAAACCACAATGAGATACCACTTCAAATTCATTAGGATAGCTACAATCAAACAAATGGAAAATACCAAGTGGTAACATGGATGTGTATTAACTGGTACATTGCTAGTAGGAATGTAAAATGGTATAACCACTGAAGATAATAGTTTGGCAGTCCTTCAAAAATGTAAACATAATATCATCATATGATCCAGCAATTCCTAAGTATATACCCAAAAGAATTGACAACACGGATTCAAACAGATTCTTGTTCACCAATGTTCACTGGAACATTATTCACAATAGCCAACAGATGGAAACTATCCAAGTGTCCATCAACAAAGAATGAGTAAGCAAATGTCATATATACATACAATGAAGTATTGTCATAAAAAAAAAAAAAATTGAAGTTCTGATACATGTTGCCACATGGATGAATCTTTAAAACATTACACTAAGTGAAATAAGCCAGACACAAAAGGATGAATATTATGTGAAATA